GGAGGAGTAGTAGTAGTAGTAGGAGGAGGATGAGGAGGAGGAAGAGGAGAAGGAGGCGGGAGGACGAGAAACAGGAGCTCTTGGATGAATATGAGGGTCTCTTGGGCTGCCTCTCATTCGCAATGTGTTTTTTTTCTCTACCCGCCGACGCGTGTCATACGGACCTGGAATTCCCCAAGAAGGCCCCATCGTGTGATTCGTAATCGGAGAAGGGGGCTCCGAATGGAGACATTCCAACGTTACGAGTCAGTTTCGCGCTAATCGTTTCCATCCACGGCCTTCTGCAAGGCCGTTTCGAGGGCCCCTTCTGAATTCTATGCACGATACGGGACTCCGATTCTACTAGTCGGGCCGCTGCTTCTGTGTGCCGTCCTAGCCTGGCTCAAGCGAGACGCCGATGAGATCGCCAGGCATGGCGCTCCGGGACGTTGCGCTGCTTTCTGGTGCTAGCCTGGCTATGACGAAACGGTCCTGAGATCGCCAGGAATGGCGTTCTGGGACGTTACGGTTTTCTTGGTCTCAGCCTGGCTATGACGAAACGATGATGAAAGCCACGAAGTGCGATAGGGTTCGAATTCTCGAACGTTCTGAATGACTTTTTGGAGCTCTGGCTCAGGACTTCCTCACCAAACCGACGCCGATCATAACGTTGCGAATCCGCAAATAGAAACACTTGGATCGTTTTGATTTAGGAGTACTCAGCGTTATGATCGTCGTCGTTTTGGTGAGGACGTCCTGTGCCAGAGCTCCAAAAACTCATTCATAACGTCGGAAAGTTGCAACCCTGTCGCACTTCGTGGCTCTTATCATCGTTTCGCCATAGCCAGGCTAGGACCGAAACAACGGTAACGTCCCAGAGCGCCATTCCTGGCGATAGCAGGATCGTTTCGTCATAGCCAGGGTAGCACCAGAAAGCAGCGCAACGCTCCGGAGCGCCATGCCTGGCGATCTCATCGGCGTTTTGCTCGAGCCAGGCTAGGACGGCACACGGAAACAGCGGCCCGAATGGTACTCATGTGGCGAAGAAATAAAAAACAAAGCTTCCCGAATTCAAATGGACCCGCTATGGTTTCGGCAGGCCCAAGCTAGGGCGGCCCGAGCTAAGGCGACAAACTGGCGTTTCCACTATGGCGCAACTGAATCTGCAGCTAATACGACATATCCCCACGACGCTCTCTCGCGACCCCACAGGCCATAGGCCCCCCGTTTACGAGATGGCAGCCGCGGGTGTAAAAAGTCAACGCGCAACCAGGTCATAACGTTAGAATATTGCCTTTTCAAAGAAGATGAATGCAGTCTGGGCCACGGCGATGTGGTACCCAAAAGCATACACTTGTGCTTCGCGTTTTTCTATTGTGTTTGACATTTTCGGCGGCGGCCGCCGATCGTGCCAGGCTTAGAACCCGCGGATTTTGAATGGCGATATTGAAACGTTACGAATCAGTTTCGCGTTAACTGTTCCATCCACGGTTTTGTTACATGTACTGCTGTTCTTGCTACCGCTACGAATATGACAGTTACGATTTCGCTGACTACGACGATTGCTGCTACCATTCGTGCTACTATTATTACTTCTGCTTTTGCTACTACTACTACTACTACTACTACTACTACTATTACTACTACTACCACTACTACTACTACTACTACTACTATTACTACTACTACTACTACTACTACTACTACTACTACTACTACTACTACTACTACTAGTACTGCTACTACTACTATTACTACTACGACTACTACTACTACTACTGCTACTACTACTACTACTCCTACTACTACTACTAGTACTGCTACTACTACTGTTGCTACTACGACTACTACTACTACTACTACTACTACTACTACTACTGCTACTACGACCAGTACGGCTAGTGTTGTTATTGTTGTTGTTGCGACCACGTACTTCTTCCACGACTACGATTAATTCTACTACGACGACGGCTGCGATTACGATTACTACCAGTTATAGTATTACATGTTTAATACGGCTACGATAACTAGTATTACCACCACCACTACCACTACAACTGCCAATACGACCAATAACCTTATGACGTTAGTGTTAGTGGTACCACTACTGTTACCACTACTACTGCTGGTTCCACCATTATTATTATCACACCACTACTGTTACGCATAACATGACAGCCACGACTAGTACTGATGATACGCCTCAGCTATTAGTACGACCGCGACTACGAATATTCCTACTACTACTACTATTATTACTACTACTACTACTATTACTACTACTGCTACCACTACTACTACTACTACTACTGGTACGACTGGCACCACTATCTACCAACATTAATAGTAGTTGTAATAGTAGTACGAGTAGTAGTGGTAGTAGTAGTAGTAGTAATAATAATAATAGCAGTACTAGTAGAATTGTATTGTATTGTATTGTATTGTATTGTATTGTATTGTATTGTATTGTAGTGTATTGTATTGTATTGTATTGTATTGTAGTCGTAGTAGTGGTAGTAGTAGTAGCAGTAGTAGTAGTAGTAGTACTGATAACAATACGAGTACCACTATTGCCATGATTACTAATACCACTACTACTGCTACTACTACTACGACTACTACTGCTATTAGTACTTTTACGACTACTACTACTACTTTTGTTGTTACTACCGCTGTTACTACGACTACTACGACTACCACTACCACTACCACTACCGCTACTACTCTTACGACTACTACTACTACTACTACTACTACTACTATTACTACTGCTACTACTACTACTACGGCTACGACGACTACTCCGACTACTACTATTATCATTCGTGTTACTACTACTACTACTACTACTGCTACCACTGCTACTACTGCTACTACTACGACTACTACTACTACTACTACTATTGCTACTAGTACTGCTGCTTTACTACTACTACTACTACTACTACTACTACTACTACTACTACTACCACTACTACTACTACTACTACTACTACTACTACTACTACTCTACTACTACTACTACTACTACTACTACTACTACTACTACTACTACTACTACTACGACTACTACTATGAGCCCCAAATTTGGGTCACATCAATGATGTGTGCCTTCGCTGAGACCATCGTGGCCGTTCCAGCGATCCGTGGCCTTCTCCTTCCAATCCCAGGGGGGGGGGGGTCGGGTGATGGGCAAGCTTCCCAAAGGGCAAGAAGGGGGTGGAAGAGGAAGCGCCGTAAACCATTCACGCGCTAAAGAGCTGGTGGGATTTGTCACTGCTGATGGGAATCATTCGAGTTGTGGTAGGCGGAGCGGGAGGGAGGGCGCGGGATCTTTGAACTGCGGGTATCTGACGATAGGAACGGCATCTTGGGGGCCTCTTGGGCCGTCCTGGGGTGCTTTTCGGGTCGTCTGTGGGGGCCTGTTAGGCCGTCGTGGGGGCAATCTTGGGAGCTTTTTCGGCGATCTTGGGGCCGTCTTGGGGGCCTCTTGCGCCGTCTTGAGCCGTCGGAAGGCCGAACAGAAGCAAGTGCCCAAATCCCTCCCGAACATAAGGAACATCAATGAGTTGGGTACATTCGGGCCCTCCTGGAAACCTCTTGGAGGCCTCTTGGGCCGTTTTTGATGCCTCTGGGGGCTTCTTTGGCCATCGTGGAGGCTTCGTGGGCGGACTTGGAGGTATCTTGGACCCGCTTGGGCCGTATTGGAAGCCATCTTGCTCTTGGGCCGTCTTGGAGGCCGGTTCAGTTCTCGGGCGAACTTGGAGGCCCGCTTGGGACTGTTTTCCAGGTTTTTGTTGGCCGTCATTAGGTCATGGTGGAGGTCTTTGGAACCATCTTGGCGCGATGTTTGGAGCCTCTTGGGCCGTCTTGGGCTTTCGGAAGGCCGAGAAGAAGCAAACGCCAACATCCTTCAACAACATTGGGAGAAACAATGAATTTGGCCTCTTCGGGCCCTCCTGGAGAACGTCTTGGGGGCGTATTGGGAGCCTCTTGGCCGTCTTGGGCCATCTTGGAGGCTTCTCGGGAGGGCTCGGAGGCATCTTGGAGCCATCTTGGGCCGTCTTGGTGGATTCTTCGGCGGACTTGGAGACAACTTGGACCATCTTGGGCCATCCTGGAGGCCATCTTGGGCCAACGTGACCATCTTAGAAGATAGGACGCCGTCTTGGAGATTGGTTTGTGGACGCCGTGCTCGTTTGGGAGCCTTCCGCGTGGCCGGCGCGCTGGGCTCAAGCCCCAGAGGGAGTTCTTTTGAACAAGAACCAAAACGAAGCCGTAGGGTTCAGCATGCCAGGCACCCTTGTGGCAAGACCACCGGGGGCGGCGGATCGAGTGGCCTGCGGCTCAATCTGCCACCGTGCCTGGGCTGTAGGGCAGGAGCCTCTTGGATGAATCTTAGGGTTCGTTTGGATGCCTCTCGTTCCCATGGTGCTATTTTTTCTCTGACCGCCGACGCGTGTCATGCGGACCTGGAATTCCCCAACAAGGCTCCATCGTGTTATTCGTAATCGGAAAAGGTGAGTTGCGTACGCTGGAGGAGGAGGTGGTGGATGAGCAGGAACATGAGTAGCAGGAGGAAAAGGAGGAGGAGGAGCAGGAGCAAGGACGAGGACGAGGACGAACAGCAGCAGCATGAGCTGGAGTGGAAGGAGCGGGAGGAGCATGAGGATCAGGGCAAGGCGGAGTAGGGGAAAGGATGGAGGGAGGCAAGGAGGGAGGCGGCACAAATGAGGAAGGACTCGGTTCCAGAAAAGTGGCCCGCGCTGGCGCAACCGTGCCATAGTGAACGGCGGGGGCAATGACGCTGCAGCGGCAGCACCATTGTGAAGGACCGATCGTGACCGGGTTGTAAAACACAGCATACGGGATATCAACGATTGAACCTTGTCTACAAGCACTACGCACTACGCGGAGAGGGTGGGTCAGCTTCCGCACTGGGCCAGGGGAGAAGGGGACGTAATATTCATATTGAGTAATTGTGGATGGATGAGGGGTGAGGGATTGGAGGGGGGAGAAGCCTCCTCGACTCTGGGCTGGCCTGGAGCACGCCCCGCAGGGGCCTCATGTCAAATGACGACGGTCGGATTTTCCTGATTTGAGGACCGTTTTCGGTTTGGCTCAAGTCGATCGATCTTGTGGGAAGTCTCAGTTCACAGAGTGCAAGGTGCAGACGTTGTGTGAGCGCCATGGCCCGCGTGTCGTTCGCCATCCTGTCGCTCGGGGCAGCGCTGGCCACTGAGGAGACCACGGCAAGCTTGCGGGGCTCTGCTGCGGCGCGACGCCTGGAGAGCTGCACCGCGGACGCGAAGCCATGCGCAGCCCCGCACTCCAACTCGGCTATCCAGCTGCCTGCGGCACTCCCCGCCACCGTGCCAGCCCAGCACCTGGGATGGCGACTGCTCGAAAGATCGCAACAACGAAGCGCTTGTGGGGGGGGCAGTGCATGCATTGAAGCGTGGCGAGAGGGGGGTCCCTTGAAAGATTTCAAAAAAACCCGCCAGACAGTGCTTCACACCGTAGGTTATCCACATCGTGCAGGCACGGTAGCGGATCTGGTGCTTCGAGGACCCGACTTGCCCAGGGCAAGGGTGCGTCGAGGATTCCGGCTGCCGGTACTGCGATGCCTCGGCGATCGGGGGGCCATCGTACGATGGTGAGGCGTGCCCTTCGCCAGCGCCGTCTTCGGGCTGCACTGCGGACGCGAAGCCTTGCGCAGCCCCGCATTCCAACTCGGCTATCTGGTGCTTCGAGGATCCGACCTGCCCAGGGCAAGGTTGCGTCGAGGACTCGGGCTGCCGGTACTGCGATGCCTCGGCGATCGGCGGGCCATCATACGATGGTGAGGCGTGCCCATCTATCCAGTCTCTCGGTGCCGCACTGGCCGCCGACGAGGGCTGCGACGGGATGACCTACACGAGAAACTACGCCGAGGGCACACCGCACGAGTGCAGGTGCGACAGCTACTGCGACGACTTCTGCGACGATGGGCCGAATGGCTGCGCCAGGACGTGCAGGATCTTGAACGGAGTTTTCGAGCACATTCCGTCCGTACATGCAGGCGACCGTACTTGCACTTGGTACGCGCACTACGTGACCAACCCGATTAACTACGAGGGCTACGATTGCTCGTGGATGACTGGCACTGGCGAGGGCGGCCATGGAGACGATTGTCAAGATTGGACGTCCGCTGGCGCCTTGAAGTGCCGGGAGGGAAACCAGAACCAGAACAACTGCCACTTCTAATCATGGTGAGTGTTTCCGAGGCGAAGGTCTTCCCGATTTCAGAAATCTTGTGGTGGGCGAAGGGGTTGAGATGCATTATACCCAGCTTTTTCAGGCTCAGTCCACTGCCTCTTTCAGCCAAGAGCGTGCGGAAGAGAGTACAGAGAGCATGATTCGTAGATGATGGAGATACACTAGCATCCTACCAGTGCTTCCCATCACCAAAAAGTTTGGACCGTTGTTGGGGTCTGGGGCACTTCGCAGACGTGCTGTTCGCACAAACCGCAGCTGTAGGAAATCTTGACGCTTCGCGCCCCATCCAGAAACGATCCCCACTCGAGGTACCTTGATCAGGAACGCAAAGCTGCATGCAGCCCAGGAGCGAACCATACATGTCTCCGTGGGTCTTTCGAAAGACGTGGAGGGAGAAGGAGAAGGCTGAGGAGGAGGAGGGGCCAGCGTAATGAAGAGGTCTTTCACGAAAGACGCTCCCACTCAATATCCGGTGAGTCCCAGGTTTGAGGAGGGGGGGAAAAAGATATCAGGAGAAGGAGGAGGGGGAGGAGGAGGAGGAGTAGGAGGAGGAGGAGGAGGAGGAGGCGGGAGGACGAGAAACAGAAGCTCTTGGATGAATATGAGGGTCTCTTGGGCTGCCTCTCATTCGCAATGTGCTATTTTTTCTCTACCCGCCGACGCGTGTCATACGGACCTGGAATTCCCCAAGAAGGCCCCATCGTGTGATTCGTAATCGGAGAAGGGGGCTCCGAATGGAGAAATTCCAACGTTACGAGTCAGTTTCGCGCTAATCGTTTCCATCCACGGCCTTCCTGCAAGGCCGTTTCGAGGGCCCCTTCTGAATCCGATGCACGATACGGGACTCCGATTCTACTAGTCGGGCCGCTGCTTCTGTGTGCCGTCCTAGCCTGGCTCAAGCGAGACGCCGATGAGATCGCCAGGCATGGCGCTCCGGGACGTTGCGCTGCTTTCTGGTGCTAGCCTGGCTATGACAAAACGGTCCTGGGATTGCCAGGAATGGCGTTATGGGACGTTACGGTTTTCCTGGTCTCAGCCTGGCTATGACGAAACGATGATGAAAGCCACGAAGTGCGATAGGGTTCGAACTTCCCAACGTTATGGATGAGTTTTTGGAGCTCTATCACTGGAGTTCCTCACCAAAACGACGCCGATCGTAATGTTGCGAATCCGTAAATGGAAACAAATGCATTGTTTTTATTCAGGAGTACTCAACGTTATGATCGTCGTCGTTTTGGTGAGGACGTCCTGTGCCAGAGCTCCAAAAACTCATACCGTTGGAAAGTTGCAACCCTGTCGCACTTCGTGGCTTTTATCATCCATTCGCCATAACCAGGCTAGGACCGAAACAACGGTAACGTCCCAGAACGCCGTTCCTGGCGATCGCAGGATCGTTTCGTCATAGCCAGGCTAGCACCAGAAAGCAGCGCAACGTCCCGGAGCGCCATGCCTGGCGATCTCATCGGCGGCTCGCTTGAGCCAGGCTAGGACGGCACGCGGAAACAGCGGCCCGAGTGGTACTCATGTGGCGAAGAGATTAAAAACTAAGCTTCCCGAGTTCAAATGGACCCGCTATGGTTTCGGCAGGCCCAAGATAAGGCGGCCCGAGCTACGGCGACAAACTGGCGCCTCCACGATGGCGCAACTGAAGCTGCAGCTAATATGACATATCCCCACGACGCTCTCTCGCGACCCCGCAGGCCACAGGCCCCCCGTTTACGACATGGCAGCCGCGGATGTAAAAAGTCAACGCGCAACCAAGTCATAACGTTAGAATATTATCGTTTTCAAAGAAGATGAATGCAGTCTGGGCCACGGCCATCTGGTACCCAAAAGCATCCACTTGTGCCTCGCGTTTTTTTTCCTTGTTTTTGTTCCATGTTCGGCGGCGGCCGCCGATCGTGCCCAGTTTAGAACCCGCGGACTTTGAATGGCGAGATTGAAACGCTACGACTCAGTTTCGTCCATCCACGGTATTGTTACATGTACTGCTGTTCCCGCTACCGCTACTAATGTACAAGTTGCGATTCCGCTGACTACGACGACTGCTGCTACCATTCGTGCTACTATTACTATTCCTGCTACTACTACTACGACTACTACTACTACTACTACTACTACTACTACTACCACCACCACCACCACCACCACCACCACCACCACCACCCCTACTACTACTATTACTACTACTACTACTACTACTACTACTACTACTACTACTACTACTACTACTACTACTACTACTACTACTACTACTACTACTACGACTACTACTTCTACTACTACGACGACGACGACTACTACTACTACTACTACTACTACTTCTTTCACTACTGCGATTCATTCTACTACGACGACGGCTGCGAGTACGATTGCTATTATTATATTTACGAATTCAATTGTTTTACGGCTACGGCTAGTACTATTTCCACCACCACTACCATTACTACTGCTAATACGATCAACACCGTATGACGTTAGCGTTAGTTGCACCACTACTGCTACTACTACGACTGCTGCTTCCACCATTATTCTTATCACCATTGCTATTACGCAGAACACGACAGCCACGACTAGTACTGATGATACTGCTCAGCTATTAGTACGCCCCGAGCTGCGCCTGTTACTACCACTGCGACTTTTACTACTACTACTACTACTACTACTGCTACTACTACTATTACTACTACTACTACAACTACTACTTCTACTACTACTGCTGCTGCTGCTACTACTACTTCTACTACTTACCAGCATTAGTAGTAGTAGTAGTAGTAGTAATAGTAGTAGTAGTAGTAGTGGTAGTAGTAGTAGTAGTAGTAGTAGTGGTAGTAGTAGTAGTAGTAGTGGTAGTGGTTGTAGTAGTGGTAGTATTCGTAGTAGTTGTAGTAGTAGTCGTAGTAGTAGTCGTAGTCGTAGTAGTAGTAGTGGTAGTAGTAGTAGTAGTAGTAGTAGTAGTAGTAGTAGTAGTAATAGTAGTAGTCGTAGTCGTAGCAGTAGTAGTAGTAGTAGTAGTAGTAGTAGTAGTAGTATTGTAGTCACAGTAGTAGTAGTAGCAGTAGTAGTAGTTGTAGTAGTAGTAGTCGTCGCAGTAGTAGTAGTAGTAGTAGTAGTAGTAGTAGTAGTAGTCGTAGTCGTAGCCGTAGTAGTAGTAGTCGTAGTAGTAGTAGTGGTCGTAATACGAGTGCCACTCCTACCACGATTATTTGTACCATTACTACTGCTACCACTACTAGGATTACTACTTCCATTAGTATTACTACGACTACGACTTTTGCTGTTACTACCACTGTTACTACGACTATTACCGCTACCACTACCACTATCCGTATTACTACGACTACGACTACTACTATTACTATTTCGACTATTATTACTACTACTACTACTACTACTACTACTCCTACTACTACTACTACTACTACTATACTACTACTAATACTACAACTAGTACTACTACTTAACGACTACTACTACTATACTACTTTACTTATTATACTACTACTAACTACTACTACTACTACTACTACTAAACCTACCGCAGGACGAAAGATTTCCTCTTGAGGTGAAAATGGCCATGAGGAGTTCGCGAGACAACGTCGGCGCCGCCGAACGGACGGCGACCGGACGAGCTGTTTGCAGCAACTGTAGGGGATGTATGTATGTATTCATGTTGAATGGAGCCCGCTCGCGCGGGGAGTTGATGGGAGTGCGCGAGACAACGCAGGGCCCATCGTGGAAAATTGATTACCGAACCCCCTTCCCCATAGAATCTTAACGCGGGCGGTTTGCGGGGCCCGCGGATCCGATTTCTTCCGGCTCCCTGGTTTAATTTAATAATATAAATTTAAAACAGGGTAGAAATCGGATCCGCCGTAAAAAATAAGACCGGACACGGATCCAGCGAATCCGAAATCGGATCCGTACGGACGGAAATCGGATCCACCAAAACAAACACCAAAGCCACATTTGGATCCGCGCGAGCTTCATGAGATCCGACGGCGGTTATCTCATACGGGTTCTGCACAAGACTTCACGCCGTCTTTCTAGGCCCAAGAGGAAAAAACTTTCGTCATGGGGATGTAGTAGTAGCCCTGAGTCGCCGAAAGATCGTTCCAAGACGCCCAAGATGGCCTCCAGACGGCCGCAGCGCCAAGAAACCGCGGGGAGACTCAGGAGGCCCTCCAAAAGCCTGAACAAGCAAAAACCTCCCAGGCATTCGTCACCCCAGGGCCTCCTGGAACGCCCCGGCGCCCAATGAATTGGCGAGCTAAAAAAGGTGCGCCGAGCCAAAGCGGGAGCGCAACTTTGAGAAAATTTTGCTCGGCGCCCAAGCGAGAAGGTCATTTCATTCACTTCGAGCGGGGGGGAGGGTGCCGCGCCCAATTCTTGCCATGCACTTTTACGGGGTGGACGACAAGAACAGCTATGTGGGCAAGCGAAAATCAGCATGGCATTGCTTCTGACAAGTAAGGTGGCCCCTCCCGCCTTGGAGTTGCCCCAGAAGTCCGCGCGCGATGTGCGCCGTGCCCCATTCCTGCCACGCGTTTCGCATCGTCGACGACAAGACAGGCCATGATGAAAGGAATAACGGAAACTCTGTATTGTTTTTTACAGTCAGGATGGGAGGGCCCGCGGCCCGCATGGACGTCCGCGCGCGATGCGCGCCGCGTCCCACTCCTGCCACATATTGCGCACCGTCGGCGACAAGGCAGGCCATGTTGAGAGGAAAAAACGGAGACTTTGGATAGATTGTTTACAGTCAGGATGGGCGGGCCCGGATCGACGGCCGCGCGCGATGTGCACCGCGTCCCATATGTGCGCCGCGTCCCACTGCTGCCACATGTTTCGCACCGTCGGCGACAAGACAGGCCATGCTGATCTGAAACAACGAAGGCTTTGTATTGATTGTTTACACTCAGGATGGGCGGGCCCAAAATGACTGCCGCGCGCGATGTGCGCCGCGTCCCATTCCTGCCACGCTTTTCGCATCGTCGACGACAAGAAAGGCGATGTTGAGAAGAAATACGGCCACTTTGTATTGATTTTTTACACTCCGGCTGGGAGGTCCCGGATTGGGCCGTTGTCGGCCAGAATACGAGGCAAATGGGGGTATATTCCAATTAAGGAACAAGGATGGGGGTGGGTCTTGGTGGGGGTGGCGGGGGTAGGGGTTGTGGGTGGGTGGGGGTGGTGTGGGTGGGGTGGGGGTTTTAACTATGTGTGCGTGCGTGTGCCTCCTGCCGAGACCAGGGTTCCGCGCGCGTCGATCCTTGGCCCAGGGTGGGCCCAGCCAGGAT